AAGAACACTGCAACTCTTTGAAAGAGATGTGGAAGGGAACCTGCATAACCGTATTAGTAATGAAGAAAAAGCAAGACAAGGAATGGATCTACATGGGCACATGGAGGTTGATAGAAGAGTGAAGCAGAAGATGAACCAGTGCAGTGCAGTGCAGTGCATGGATAAACGACGGAAAGAGGAACTGACTACAACATATAAAAGATTACACTGGACAAAGAAGTGAAGAGGACTACGCGGAAAGACAAAAGACACTTCTACGATACACTGGCAAGTCAAACAGAACGGGCTGCAGGTAGGAGAGATCTGACAACGCGATATCAAATAACTAGATTGCCATCTGGAAAGGGATCAACACAAATGAAACCAATGAAAAGTAATGAAGGAAACTTAGTTACCCAAGAGGAGGAACAAGGGGAACGATGGGCTGACCACTTCAGCAAACTCTTGAGTCGACCACCACCAACACCTCCTGCAACTCGTCCAGAAGTACCACCAGCAGCCCAGCCACAGAATTACCAGTGAACACAAGCCCTTCGACAAAGGTAGAAGTGGAGTCCTGAAAGCCATAAAGCTGCTGAAATGCGGGAAAGCAGCAGGACGAGATGGAATTCCTCTAGAAGCACTGAGAAGAGACACAGAGATGGCAGTGGACAAGCTCACACCACTATTGCAGAAGGTTTGTAAGGAAGAGAAGATACCTGAGGATTGACTGGAAGAAGGGCTACCTTGTCAAAATTCCAAAGAAGGGTGAATGACCTAATTCTTCGCAAGAACTGACGGGGAGTCGTGCTTCTAACCACTCAAAGCAAAATACTAGGCTGCATCATCCTGGAGAGACTGAAAGATGAGCTGAATTCCAAACTAAGAGCGGAACAGGCTGGCTTCAGTAAACACAAATCATGTGCGGATCAAATTGCAACGCAATGCTACGCTTTGCCTCATCTTAAAACAGAGCATAGAATGGCAGTCAACTGTGTACCTGTGCCTCAACTTCATCGATTTAGAACAGGCCTTCGAAAGCGTCGACCGAGATGTGATTTGGCAGGCGGTTGCTTCAACACTACGGTTTTAGTGCCACAAAGCTTTATCAACCTCATTCAACAGCTATATGATGATGCCACATGCCAGGTGATTCACAATGTTAAGCTCAGTGATGCCTTTGAATTGAAGACAAGAGTAAGACAAGACTGCATACCTCCACCCATGATCTTCCTGATTGTGGTCAGCTGAACTGGACCATGCAGCAACCTGTGAGGAGGGAGAAGATGGGCATACTCTTGGTGCACCGATGAAAAGCGACTAGAATATTTGGATTTCGTGGATGATTCATGTCTAATGTCACACAAACTCGAAGATGTGCAGGTGGAACCAGTGAGTTTGCAGAAGAGGCGAGGCAGCGAAGGTGGGACTTCAAGTGAATGTAGAGGCGACGGAGTTGATGAAGATATCAAACTTACAATAGCATCAACAACAAGCATCATTCACCATGGACGGGAGAAATGTCAATGAAGTAATCTCTTCCACCCAGCTACCTAGGCAGCATCGTTTCAACTACTGGCGGCACAGATGAGTATATCAAACCCAGGATCGGAAAGACAGCAAGACAGGCTTTCATCAACCTGAAACCAGTATGGAGATCTACTCCACTCAGCATAAAGCGTGAACGAGATCCGAATTTTCAAGTCAGTGCTTTTATGTGATTGTTTAGAAACTTGGCGCGTTACGAAAAGCATTTCCAACAAACTACATACATACATGAACAGCTTCTGCCTACGCTCACCCGATACTGAAGATCAGATGGCGAGAAAGAATTAAAAACAAAGAACTCTGGGAACGAACCAACCAAGAACCCATTGCCGAAATAACAGGCAGAAGAAAGTGGGCATGGATCGGGCATACACTAAGAGGACCGTTTGGGGACATCATGCGTCAGGCCAGGCCGTCGAGTGGGACCCAAAAGGGAAGCGACGAGTTGGGCGTCCTAGTCGAGGGTGACATGAAGGAATAAATGAAAGCTTCTGGGCAGTCGTGAAATCAGGTTGAAAAGACTGCAGAGTAGAGAGTGAAATGGTGACGTGTTACTGAAGCTCTATTTTCCACTAAGAACCCAGGGACAAATAAAAATAAATCAATAATGTGACTAAAGAATTCGACCAAAAATATTTTCTGCTGATTTGACTGATTTCTATGTTGAGTTAAATAAAACTGGAATTTCAGATCATAAAGAAAATGCTACCTAACTGGTAAAGTGTACAGTCATGGAGTTAATGATTTGCTTTTGTTGGATAAGTTAACTGCAAATTATCGGCAAGCCATCTGAGCCATTTATTAGTTGTACAGTGAATTGTTTAATTCAGGGCTGAATCACTGCGTGAGTTGAGGTCCTAACTGTTGTTCTTAGACAATCTGGTACTTTAATATGAGTATGTTTCACAATCCGGTGGTAAGCTAAGTCTTAAACATAAGAACAGTAAATTGCTCGTTAAAACCCTCTTAACACTAACAGTTGTGTACAATCACTGATGCTTATCGGTTGTATGTTCTGTTAGTTGATAACACATGCGGCACTGCTAATAACATATATTACTCATTGAATGGTTACCAGTGAAAAGTCTGTCAACAACCCAGTTGACTTGTAAGAAACCAATGTATTGTGCACTTGTGAGTTTTTAATGTAAATAAACATTCCTAAAGTTTACATTGCCAAATAGTGTGGGCTGAACAATCATCAATGGAAGGAATTTCTATTTCTCGCATTTAGTGAAGAGATTACATGAGTAGTACAGAGTAGTAGACAAGGTAAAAAAATCACCCAGTAAGGCTGCAAGGCTGTATCGACTGAGGTAGCTTTGTTACGAGTCGTGTGTAAAGAAACGCCGTATAATCCAGTTAACAATGTAAACTGAAGCTCAAGCTTGTTGGTGACCAGAACAAAATATGGTACCAGTCTTTGAAATCTCCAGCTTTCAGTTTTAGTTATGTAAGGATATGCAGGCTGCTTCTTGGCTGGGATCATCAAGGTGATGGGAGTATGCTACGAAGCGTACAACTTCATCTGACTCATTTCTTCTCTTGGTTCTAGATTTATGTTTATCTGCCTATCTTAAAGCATCCAGAGATCAATCAGTCCCTTGAATATCACTAGAAGAACTCAGCGTTAACTGTCAATTGGCTGAGATAAATTTCTCTATGTTATGGTTAGAAAACACAGGTTAAGAGAAACAAGAGATACGTGGCAAAGACAAGGAATCAGTGTCGTCGTATACCATGGATTTATTAATGTTCGAAAAATGCTTTTATTGTACTGTAATATAATGGGTGACTAGTAACACATTCAACATGAAGCCTGGAGGAACAGATCGCATTCTGTTTGATATTATAGGCACACTATTTTTGAACTGTCACACTAAAAGCGAGAGACAATATTCCAGTGTTTTATGGTTCATAATGATTACCTAGTTGATGTCATTTTTTGGTAAGAATTGCATCGACATCAATCCTGTAGTAAAAAATTGAGCCTCAGTTCTCAACAATAAAGTTTCATTCTGGAGTTGATAGCATGCTACGCCACCAAACAGGATGAGAAGCTCTGAAAGATATCTTCCATTGCAGCGGTGAATCATCGAAGAATAACCAGTATCGTGCTCAAATTGCATATTGTTGATAGAGTTCTATCAGTTAATTCAAAAATTTTTTCCACTTATCTGAATGATTAGGCATCATATCTAGTCTCAGATGGTTAGTGGCCGATCAACAGGAGGTCTTCATTCAATCTGGATTTCGTCATGATCATTAGTAGGCAATCACGCGTGTATTTATCGCATCAACCAAAGGTATGCTAACTGGTAGGTCGGAGTTTTCATTGTACTCAGTACCAAAGTAAATAGTAATAACCTAAAGGGGGTTTGACAACACAGTTTCAAAGCCTGTGTGTGACTGAGACATTGAATAAGACGTCTTTAAGTGTTTCAGACATCTTGAGTTTTTTTGAGACTACAAACATAGTATACCGTCGTGATCTTAGCCTGCTTCCATCAATGGATGGCTGGCTACATTACAGGCTATCGATCAATTTCGGTGAGCGCACATATAAGTACCGTGATATTCATTGTTATCCAACTACCAGTCAACTATATAGTTTATTGTAGACGACCGAACATGTCTCGCTGATAGTTTCTACTCACAATTATCACAAAATTATCTGATTTACCAGAGATGTGCTCACGTATCAGTGCAAGAATTCATATTGCGCTATTTGAATGCATTTCATTGTATACGTACTTTAGGACAGTATACCTTCGATTGCTATTCTCATCCACCAGTAAAGAAATCACAGGAGGAATGATCTAGGAACCTAAAGAACAAGATGCATTACTATCAAGTAATATGATGTCATCGCGTCCGTTAGTTTCATTAAAGCTTTGCTGATGCAAACAAATAATCAATTTAAGGAGTGAACACATCAAAGAGAATGAATTTTAGCAAACAGCGAACCTAGCGAGGATTGCTTCCTGCTGGTTTGAAACCTCTGGAAACACTTGCTGACAATTGGAAATCAACTTTGAATTTCACTTCCTATTACTTTTAGTAGTAATCTAAAATGGCAGGCTGAAGATCCTGATCCTTATCAAGTATTTATTTTTGAGTAAGCTAAGCTCGATACTATTATTTTTATGTCTGGTGTTAGAAGTCATCTGTCAGGAAGGCCTACTTGTTCTAGATTTCCTGTCTGTTGGCTCAAATCAGCAGGCTGTATGTGTACACATGAGGAAACTGTTATTCTCTGGGTGATTTGAAACTACATGACTCGATAAGGAAGTCGAAGGGAGACTCTACTGCCAAGCTATTTGGACCACAACTGATCTCCCTCACTTTGATCTATAGATTTCGGTCAGTGCTGAGGATGGAGGACTAAACACTTACTTTATTTACCAATTGGTGATCGAGTTTTAAGCAGTGTAAATATGAAAGTTTCTCAAGTGATATTTTTACTCTTACAGCGCAATGAATTCAGTGGTGTGGTACGTTTCTTTTTCCGTGGAGATGATGGAAAATATCAAAGCAAGTGTTTACGTATCACTAATACAGCTACTGCAAGACATTTAGTCAATGTACTCGTGGAAAAATTTCATCCAGATTTACGTATGCTTACTGCTGGGCGCTATGCAATATATGAATATCATACAAATACTGGAGGTAGAGATACTTGTGGAATAATATAACTTATGAATCAGTAATTGATTATTGATATCTTTAAATTTACTTTATTGGCGTTTTTATTAATAAGTGTTAGGATGCATTTAAATTAAAGATTAAAGAATGAGTGAAACTGAATGCTACATAGTTGGTATTGTTGATGGATAGTGGCTTGCAGTTGGATCCAGGATCCATTCCTTGTCCTATTTGGGACTTGTCTGCTGGATGTATGTGCTTTCCAGTAGACGGTGTTGTTCCCGCTAAGACACACTACAGCATTATTCACTGGACCAGTGAGTAACGATAGCCACTCCTTTTACATTACAGTCTTTGGTGTTATAACATCTGCGTCATCTGCGTCACTGATTGAACGGAATTGATCGGTCAATATTGGCACATGGGCTGCTGTGCAGATGCTTCAATATTGCTGGTATTTTTCACAGGCCAATTCAGTCTATGTCAGTCAATGACAGATACACAAGCTACAGCGTCAACGACTGCAAGTGATTTACGTTCAACCAATCAAGGTAGTTAGTGACTTTTAATTGGTCACCATTAAGATAAGTGGGGCGGATTATCGATACTTTTCGCCTCAAGTCCTAAATTATGCATGATTTCCTAAATCTTTTAAGTTCCTGATCTCAATCGTCCGTCAACATTGAGTGAATCACTTCACGTTCTATCGCCATAAGGTTTTTCATCAGTTTTTATTGATATGACTGATAAAGTATTTGTAGGATGTGACGGTACTTGGTATCGCTGCTGGTCGTTCTGTATTTATGGTTCAAACAAAGATACCTTGTAAATTATAATACATAAACTAAGAAAAAACCCAATGTCGAATGCTGTAGAGGAAATGTGATTTACCCAATCGTCACCAGTGTTAATTTTACTACCGGTAGGTTTATTCAAAAAAGCCAAAAAAGCAATCGATTTCTTAATAATTAAATCAACTTAGATATTTCTTTTCATTCGTTGATTAATGAATCACATAAACAGCACATATTTTTGGTCTGTTGTTGTTGGTCATGTTAGTGAACAGCGAATTCTTTAGTAACCGCTTTTCGTCTTGTCTGTGTCTCAATTGTCAGTGGTTAGGGCAGGAAACTATTTGGCGTACTCAACAGTTATAGATGACATAAGTACTGAAATCTAGTGCATAGTAGTTTCTTCCTCTTTCTCAGCATTCATCTATATGGAGTCATCCTGTGAAAAAAGTGAGTACGATCAATTGGCTTGATCAGTTTAAAGATAAACAGATAGACAAGATCACACACACAACTGTATCAGTTCAAGTTGTCACACTTCAAAGTAGCACTCAAGGAACAAGTGAATGGAAAAAGACATATCAAGGCGGACAAACATGTATCGGAGGAAAGAGAAGTTTAGTGAAAATACACACAAGATATCATAAGTTGAATACACCTGACATTGTGATTGATTTTCAGACATTTCACCAAGAATCCCTAACCATTGATTCCTATCATCTCAGAGACCTGCAACCCTATAGTCTATGCTTCCACACATGGCTGAGACCAACATTCAGAGACTTCATGGATTGATGCCATGCCTTGATGTCACCACCGTGAGCCTTCTTCTAAAGTAACTCAACTCCCCCTAGCATTACTTGTAGAAGTTCGCGGTGATTCAGGATACGTAACATATGTTCAAGCCATCCCAATTACTGAAGGGTTCACAACCTCATCGGTTAACTTGTCTTCGTCGCCTGACCTCAACACGAAATGCTGAAAAAAAAACAGTGTCACATTTTCCTTAAATCCAGCTGAATTTTTGTCCATTACATATAAAATTCAATCAATGACCTAAGTGAATTGGCACTAGTGTACGAAGTTGTTGATGTGTTCTGGGTGAAAACATCTGAAAGTAGGCCAGGACTAAACTTATTGAGTTATTTGGATGCATTGCATTGTATGCACTGATAACTTTTTTTGATTTCCTGCTGTAAAGTGGGACATCATCACCAACTGGGATTCATTTCAAATATGTTGGTTCTCTGACTTTTATAAAAATGAAACTCTATCATATCCATCTCAACCTGGCCAGTCAGTTTCATCTTTAGTTAAACAGGAACTTACCTACCCAACATCTATGTAGACTGATAATGATATCCAACTTGACTGCAAATCGTCAAGTCGGCAACAGTTTAGTTTAGACAATGTCTTCATCCAAACCTTATTCAATTGACACATAATGTTGTTCATACCTTTAGAACGCCGTCTAGGTGCTGATGAAGCACCCTTACTCGTACAATTGGATTGGACAACTGAAAATCAAGAAGGACGTTTTATTTTGCGTGATGAATCTAAGCCACAGACAATACAAAGACTTGTAAGTAATATTTTTGTGTTCCTTTAATCACCTTTCTAATTTGGTCAATAAGATACAGCATTGTTTTAACAGGAATTACGTCGGTTCTTAATAGTTATGACATAGGATTGCTTAATGGAAGGATGAGTGTATTATTATATGAATTTAGTCCTACATAGCATTATTGTTCTGTGATTAACTCAGAGGACATTGATATGTATCAGCTCGAGAAAATATGGAAAAATGACAAAAAAAAATAGGATCACGGTGTGTATCTCTTTAAAGAAACTTTGTTTTGCATGTGAAACTGTTTTTTTTTTTACTGTTACTTAAAATAGTAATTAACTTGTTGAGAATATACTGTTGGTATATAGTAAAGAACTTTTAAGGTGTGTTCAGTTGTATTGATTTGTTAAATATTATAATAAATATATAAATATGTATATACTCTTAAACAGGAAATTCACAATGATATGTCTTTTAACAGGCAACTTGCCTGAATTATTGATTTACAACCTGAAATCTCTTTTTATTGATTAGTGCGAGTATAGTTAGGAATTTTAGTACCAATATTATCATTATTATTATTATTATTACTATAATAATAATTCTTAATGTCATTAAGAATATACATATTAATGGTATTTATGTCACATATTTAAGCATTGGGAAGTATGTTATCATTTAACAAACTTTATTCTTTTTCTGTGATTCTTTTATTTTTTGTTTGTTGGGTTTACGCCCCTTTTGTTTTGTGAGTGACTCATAATAATAAAACCGATTTTATGCTTTTATTCATTTATTATCACAAATAAAGTGAAATCCATTGTTTCACTAACGAAAAACAACAATATTAATAGTTATAGTGATCACAAGCGCGTGTTTATTTCCCGAATGGACTGGATAATAGAAATAAAAGTTATATTTAGGTTGAAGAGTCGATGAAAATCTGAGAGCACTAAAAATATGTTTGATGCTGATTTGGGACCATGTGGCAGGGTGCACCCACAACGCCACAAGGGGTCAAGGATAGAACTGTTAGGTCTAGAGTTGAGGACGTTATCATTCACCCACTGGTTCACTTTCCTGGGCTTGACCCCTCGTAAATTCATGAGTATACGCTGCTAAGTAATTTCACACCAGAACAAAACAGCTATTTAGTACTATTAGGTGCTCAATGCTTCTGCAACTCAAATCAGTCTATGGCGGAAAACTACTTCGAAAAACAACCGATACTGCTATTTTTTATCATTCCATCTGGTTCAGTGACTTCTATTTCTGTTTAAGTAGTCTTTCTGTTACGCAGCGGAGTCATAAAATTTGAGGAATGTTCTTGACATCACCTGCGATAAGCTAATTAAGGTATTAGGTATCAGGGGGAATCGATAAGTTCTTCTACAATAATGTACTAATTCTGGGTGGTTCAGTTCTTGAAAAAGTTTCATTAATGTACAATCAGGGGGTTTGAAATTGAAGTGTACTTGTTCTTTTAACTCAGTCAACTAATGATGCCGCATAAACGGTGAATGCAATCCCCAATGAACATCACTTCTCACTTTGAGATTGGCTGATAGAGAGAAAGTCATGATATCTCAGTGAATTATATTACATTTAAGACAGACAAAGATAATAGTCAGTGAGACCCGATTACTGTGAGTTTCATACTCACCAGCATCTTTCTGTCGGCAAAATATTTTCTACCTGATTCATACCTGTATAACCCATTCGAAAACTTGGATATATTAGTGTCGAACAGATAGGTCTGAATAGCTAAACTCTAGAAACTATGACTTCAGTGTCGACTGAGATAGGTTAATTGTGAACATCAACCTTCCAAAGTCGCAGAAGTAAGATTAAATTCAGGGAAGATTGAAGAGTGTGGAAACCGAAATATTATAACGCCTTAAACATGTATTCCCAGACTGTTTGTCTCAGTCGTCTACAGAATGTCAGTTTTCTCAGCTAGAGTACTACCGACACTAGGGATTAATATTTGTAGACAGTTATTATTATTGTTCGAAACCAGTAGCAGTAAGTGAAAAGTTATTCTAACTTCGTCATCCGCTTTATTAATCTAACTCCCCTGTATATTGGTCTGTTGGTCGACTGTCATCAGTATCCGGTGATTGATAATATGATATCAAGGAGTGATTTTAAAGCCTACTCTAACAAATGAGATAATTAATTACGTTTTTGGATTTTATCCAATCCTACCTTCCCGAACGAAATGCTGAAACCTGATTGGTTATTTTAGTAGCAATACGGTAACCTTTAAAGTCACTTATATCAGGGTCACTTCATCGTATGCCTTCAATTCATAAGACTATTAATACTAGAAAAATTTAAAATAAAGTTCACTTTATGCATTGGTATTATGTGAAATGATTAATTCTAGGTTTATCGTTCAACGTATATGAATTCGATAGCCCTATTGACCTTGACTTAACTTGAACGTTTAATCACATGTTGATTTTTCTGCGTAGTAAGATTTATGTGAGCCGAATGCTGGTAGGGTACATCAATTCACTCATTTGTAGATTCCTGATACACTCTGTCTAGAGTAGTTTAGCCTTATTCACAGATTCGATTATGCATTGTATACATGTGTATCATGTATGTTACTTATCTGTTGTTTGCCCGTGTATAGATGTGTGTTTGCGCAGTGACTGCAAGAGTGCGTACATCGCATGAAACCGCGTTACCGTAGTTACCTAAGTAAAAGTTTTCAGTTTTTCATATGTACATGTGTATTGTTTGCTTAGCCTTTATCTGAGAAAATCGCATACACTGCTAAAAATCTCTGATTACTTAGGTATGCTTGAAGAGAAATCAAACAAAGAATGTGAGTTCGGCCTTGTTTATCATTCGGAAATTTGGAACACTGAAGTTTTGTCTGTTACGTTTCTTTTTATGCGTACAACTTGTGTGTGTGTGTGTATGCATGTGTGTGGCTAAGTACCAGAAGTGTACACCGTGCAATTAACTCTCTGAAAGTGCATCCTGTGTGTGCACATACTTATGTATAAATGTACGTAGATAAGTACTGTCTTGGAGGTTAAGAAAAACCGTTAAAAGCTGTTTTTGTGCCATTACTGTTTGCAGACTAATTATTCCGGTGTTTTAGACTTTTCAGCAGAAGTGCCGAGACGTTCACTGACTGGTCAGTAGAGATCAACCAATCTTATGTGATCCAGTTCTGAGTGCTGACTGAATTCTATAGATCGTTTTGTAATATGACCACTAGGCTATGAGGCTGATCTTCGTGGCGCACTTTGATGGATATTAATTGGTTGGAGGCAATCGGAAGTATCCCTGTGTGACCTAGCTTCCGTGCTTGTTGGCACAGCAAAGTGTATCTGCAACCTCGAGGAACTAATGTCCCCGTGACATTCAGACCCTCGTCACCCAGTGTTACAGTCAGCGATGTTTCCACTGAACTATACGGGTCATGACTGACTTCCTGTATGACTGGATTACATACATTGGTTGGTTAAGCTTCAGTTGGTAGTTGCTGTCTTCTACTTCTGGCAACACTGATTGATATAATCGAATATTTTTAATCTATATACTGAGTGAGTATTTCACTATTTCAAACTAGAGCTCATGATTGGAGCTCTCTAAGGAATTTTGCTTAAAGAATGTTCATCCATATACAGTTATACGGACGACTTAGTATCATGCTTCATTCAACTGGTAGCTGTAATGAAGTAACTTATATGCATTTATGATGCTTTTAATTGTGATAAGAATAAGAATTCACTGATTGGTTCAGTGACTAGCGGAATTTGACTTCATTGTCAGCGTTCCCCCCTAACCCAGGTGAATGAGAATTTCGAATCTCAACTGCGACAAGTAGAATCCAGCAGATGCTCCTATAATGCCTGAGTACTTATTGCTATAGGTGACTTGATTATGGCTAGCAGTGGGATCCAAGACGTGCATTTTGTCCTGTTCGGGACTCGTCAACTGGATGCACCTGCACCTCAGTGAACGATGCTGTTCTAATAAGAACTGGAACCTCGTACCCATTGCCTCAAACGCTACAGCGTCATCCACTAGGCCACTGAAGCACGATAGTGACATCTTGTATGACGTTAATTAGCTTTATTATTTGTTGATATTTGTAATTCTACGTTGTTATACTAAATCAAATACATGGACCTATGCTGGCATATGAGCTCCCATGCTGATGCCTTCATATTGCCTGGATATTTGTTGTTGACGGATTCCAAATAGAACCAAAAGCGCGTCCTGGATTTCACTTCTAACCAAAACTAAGTCAACTATAACACAATTCTTAGTTTAAAGTTGAACAGTTAGGCGTATAACGTAGATCAGCATATACAGGAAGTCAGTTGTAACCCAAATAGCCCAGTGGTAAAGTCACTTGATGATGCACTTTTGAACAGCTGAGAGAAAATCAGTTCCCCCGAGGTTGTGGATTCACTTTGCAGGCAAGCAAGCATGAAACCTAGTTTGAGTAGAGATTCCTGCTGATTACCTCCAACCACTTAAGATCAGTCAAAATTGCTCCATGGCAATGAGACTCCTAGCTTCATAATCTTACAGCAAAGCTACCAACGGAATTTGGTTAGCACACTTAAGACTGGACAACATGAAAATTGGTTAGTTTCAAAGGAGTTTTCATAATGTGTTGACATCTATGGTTTTTTGGTTTATGTCAGCTTATAGTAAACCTTAAGACTCAGTGAAATACTTTGTTATCTAATGACTGATGAATAGAAACCAGTATCTCCCTCATTACTCTATGTGGCAAATTGTGAACCGTGTCGGACTCACATGTAATATGCTACTGAAGCTCTTTTGATGATAACTGTAGTTATAATCTATAGCCATTTAATGGGGTAATTTGTCGTACGCTAGTTGTTCACCAGTGAAAGTGACTGACGAGTCTTCTACTAATACTGAAGTACACCAGCATTTAGTTCAAACTAGTGAGAAATAGGTGTTCATAAATGTTTCCTCTTACTTCTCCTTACTATTTCTTTCCAAAATGCAGCATGTATCACAAGTGTCTTCAGTCCATTCAAGTAGTATCACTAAGCTACATTGCCTGCGTTTTGTTTATAATATGCCGAGCAGAATTCCTAAAGCCTCTGAATCTACAGCTTAACTTAGATGAACAGGTTTTAACAATTGTAGGTGAGATGAGACAGTATAGGACTTTCATTAAACACTCATGTTGGCGTACATCTTTTGAACGAGAATACATCTGGCGTTTGCAATTTTATACTACATAGGTTATATATCCAGAAAACAGACGTTTGATTCATAGGCTTAGTCTGGAATACAGATGACCCGTGTACCACTGGGAAGAGTTATAGTTCAGCGGTTTAGACAACTGACTTCTAACCAGTTGGTCACAGGTTTCAAAGCCACCTCACCTACTGAGGTCTGCACAGCCAACTAGTACCATCCGTCCTCACATAATAGATAAGGTGCGGTGCCTACTGGATGAATGTGCATAAGCTTGCTGAGTTTGTTTCTTTCTACCGAAAGAGGCACTGATTCTACCCTTGTCAGAGAGTATAACAATATAGCGGAAGAATTTCTGTCGGTCAAAATGTATACGGTATGATAAACCTACACACCCCAAGGTAAGTAGAAATCTCATTGAGATGTCAGTCATCAACTTCTGTGGAACTTAAATATTAGAAATAAGAAAATATTGTTATTCAAAGCTTCACGTGAAACAATAAATTATATCAGGAAACTGCAATTATTCAATCTGTTTCTCAGAGTGATGGACCACGATAATAATTTCTGAAGACTGATTAATACCTAGCAGCAACTGCTTCTCTGACTGCATTTTGACACAAATTCTCATGAATTTGGGCTGTGTATTGTGCGGTGGAATCGATCTACTCGTCTGTAATTATAAAAGTGAGTCATCTACAGTGGATGTCTTTCAGACAAGAACCAGAAGTGTGTTCACTAGTTTTGAAAGAATATTTGAAATTTCCACTTTGATTCAGCTTACCACCGAGTTTATCAACTAAGAGTAGATAAGGTGTCCAACTTCATCCACTTTATTCTGAAGTACACATGAACTGTTTGTAGTGAGACGAATCATAACTCATGGGCCTCTGTGTAGCAGATATGCTTTTATCCCAGTAAGTACGTTGTACAGACCAACGTAGAGAAAAGTAAAGGCTGTGAAGACAACACTAGAGCATTACGTCCTACAAAAAACAGAACCCTATGGACAACAATTTAGAAGTTATTCTTCGATAATGAAAAATCATCATATCGATAGTTAACGAAATGCTCTTAACTTCTATGCACAGCCTACCATTGGAGTACTCTTCAGTAGAAATTTGAACTTAGAGAACAGCTCAGATTCAAGCTAGCACAATGGGAAATGCTATGAAAGTAATGGTACGCGAATACCTGAAGTCTTTCCATGTCTTCTATCTTTATCTATCATGATCAGAGTTATACTGGAGAAAGGAACCAACTGCTGAACGATAAATTCCATCATTAGTGGGCAGTTGGATATCACACTGCCACCATATATGGCGTATGTTGACAAAAGCCAATGCAGCCTTAATTTAGCGCCGTCTGATTGCCAATTTGTAGATAGTGTTAGAAGTCAATATCATTGTCCATACAGAATTAGCAGACAGAAATACCTGATATAAGTCATGTTCACCAATCAGCATTTCCCATAACACGCTTCAATATTTAAATTATACACACCTGTGATAAAGGTTTATATTCGTTCCGTTTTTGTTTTCCGTACGATGTACAACTATCGTAAGTTTTGGTTGTCCCAGTGTAAGCATTGGGAAAACCTGTATAATAAAATACAGTGTTATCTTAGTCTCACATTCTACTTAGTTCAAAAACGTAGAAAGTAGCCATAAATTTCTCAACAATGACAAATTATTGGCAACCACATATACTATATCGCCTAAATTCTTCAATACTTTTTGTCCAATTAAAATGGTTTCATGACTGCCGTTCTTTTCTGTCACTTGGTACACAACAGACACTTGGAAGAAGAAGATAAAGTTGTTTCCACGGAATACTGACTGATGAGAACAAAAGTTTCTGGCATGAATCACCCACTCTTCAGTGACTTACTTTAGTCTAGATAGCTAATTGATATAAAATGCGATTTTGTAGACTTAACTTTAAGCTATGAAAAATACAGATTATTGAATTAGTAGCGCTAAATTGAATTTTATTAAAAACAGATCTGAAAAACAATATCTCACTCAAACGTGGGCACTTTAATTGCATATATTCTCTCCCATTGTTTGGAAAGCTACTCCTCTGCTTCAAACACTTTTGGTTGGTCACTGGTAGGTAAACAACTTCATGTTGGCTAGCCCTAAGTCCTGGTAGAATTATATTGATAATTTTCCTGATTGGCCATTTGGCTAGTGGACTGACCTTCACGATGCACTGGAATAGATGTTAGTTGGATGAGGGCAGTTAGTAGAAAGTCCTGGTCCTAGGTTTCGGATTTTTCGGTGCTCAGTAAGATCCAGATACCTTGGTGGTAACGTCTTTGACTGCAGCACTGGGCGGTGTTGATTCCAAATCTCAGGTGGGATATCGGTTTTGTCGAAGTTGCAGATACGTCCCAATCATGACTGTCGAAAAGGATGAAGCCTACGTCGAGCAGGTTTTCCTGCTGATAACTTCTATCCAACAAAATTCTGCTGTTATATCATATCAACGCTGCTTCATCCGCACAATGACCGGTGTCTTAAGTTAATGATGAACAGTAATCGAACAAAAACTTCGATACATCTTTGCTTCACTTATGTTCGAAAATGCTGATGTAGAAGCTACACTGTATTGAAAGTTGCAAGATTGTATACAATCTGTGGAGTATTTCAGTTCCTAATACTGATCCCAGCCCATAGACAAGGTTACAGTCAGATGTGATGCACTACATTTAGCCGCAGAAGCACTCTCTCATGAAATTACATCTACCACTAGCACAATACACTTTACTAAGCCTCAAGGTCCTAAGTTAAGCCCAGAAGTAGCATATGAGTAAATAACAGTAAGAAGTAATTTGTGATTATCGCCTTATTCTGAATGGCCTACATACGCGATACTCTGCAAACACTTATTGCTATCATCGATCAAGTACATTCATTTGTACAAGAGTATAAGCTACACTTAAGGACGAGTGACACTAACTGACCGGTTTTGAGCCAAATCATTAACAGTTTGCAACCATTATTGTTTTTTTCGACGTACTGACTGAATAAATCTTCAATGGTAGAATAGGTTTCGTATCCATAACTGCATTTTTTAAATTAATGCACCACAGCTCTCAAGGAAAGTATCATGTAACCGAAGTGTACGCCAAAATTATTTACCACTTCTTTCACTTCTTTGTCTACTTGATTAATGAATTCGATTATCACATTTTAAAGGCTTGGTGACTAATTGACCATCTGGATGAGTATGAGTCACTTGTTTATGTGAATTTCTTGTATTTACAGGAGCAGCATACACCACCCACACTTTTGTCACTATTTTTAATCTCTTCGAGCATGAACACAATTTCATGTGTACATAATTCCACGAATCACAGCAACCACCACCACCCCGATCATCATCATTGTTTCTTCCATCGCTAAAGCCTTTTCACTCTGTCCAATTCTCCAGAGATAAATGAATGCAAACAATGACTGATTACTGTGTAAGCAAGATTTACCTACTGTGATTTGGTGATATTCTGTGTGTGTAATGATAATTTCGAAATGGTTCACCCATTTGTCTATCAGTTTGATGATAGAAGAAAGCTAAATGCGAATAACTTTATCAAGTGAACACACACACTCTCTTAATTCACAATATTCTGATGAAATATGATAATGACCTAAAAGTCTAAAGTTGGAGTGTAAAACACTTTGTCCCCCTATTTATTCATTTTTAACAATGGTTGCATAATGTTCTTTTATTATACGAGTGTCAAATTTACATATGTACACACAGAAATTGATTTCCACCCACCTTTATGTTTGTGTGAGTGAATGCATACATATAGATACTTGAATTAGTGCATCTCTGTGAATGTTTGATTCAATATTTTTTGTTGGCAACTGAATTAGCGTTCAATGTTCAATAGACCGTTAAGTGTGCACTGACTGCTACTGCAGAGAAACGAATTTAAAGAGATTTATTGTTGTTCATCACCTGATGATAGATACTCCAGGTGGATAAAACTAGTGTAAGCCCGTAATGATTTGAAGGTTGACAGCATTTGAAAGTTAGTAAGAGAATCTAGCTTAAACCATATCAATACTGACCATCTGTTTTGTTTTACTCGTGCTACATAGAATTAAATAAGGATTCATAAGGTAAAGACTGGGGTAGTCTGAGTTTATTCACTCGGAATACACTGTTAATTGACTCCATCCAAATAAAATAGATGAAACTATGCCTTGCATCAACATTGTCTGAGGTTGATTAGTGATCACGGCTGATAAAAATGACCAGCTTACCACTAAGTGTGCCATTCAGTTGTACATATCGCACATCTCTTACGCTAAGAGTCTTGACACCATTATCATTGTCGAATACTATGATCTGTATGGGTGTGTGATACCAAATAAGATATCTCTAAAGACTGTAGAATGAATAAATTCTACTTTTATCTACTTTGGACACCTTCAATAGTGCAAACTTACAACAATTTACAGGTTCGAACCCTGAACAATCAGGTTTCATTACCATTTGATCAGCAGGTTAGAATTTAGTGGGTGACTGGAACCTCAACTTTGATCAAGTGGCTGGTGTCAGTCACTGATAGAAAGCATCTTCAAGCAGAAAAAATCCCTGAATGATAACCAATTGAGTCGTATGATTGCACTTAAAACTGCAATTACTATGGCAAAAAGGGTAGAACTGAAGTAGTGCAAACTGATGGTATAGATAATCGGATGATGGGTGAAGTTTAGAGTTTCAAGATAATTAGTGTTTGGATTCAAACAAATTGCTCATGGCTTATCAATCAACATTTGATCTAATGAAAGATTGTGTTCATTTGCTAATCAAATATTACTGTTGAGATGGCTGTCCAGAGCGTCTTTTAGCTTCAGTCATTATGCATACATGGTGGAATAATGTGTCAACTTAACCATCAAACCAACTCGTAATTTACGCATAATTTGACCCTATAATAAACCTTATATAGCATTTCGTTGAAGATTTCTCTTCGTCGATGGGGAAATTTACAACAACCTAACAACTTACAAGTGACCAGCGTAAGGCTATACACGATTCAGTCCCCAGACGTTAGCCAGTGTAAATCTCAATTCTTAAGTGCTAATTAAAGTCCATTCACCACGTCTTCAATATGACCAGTAGGCAAACTGAAGCAACACTGCAGCATATTAGGTATATTGTTCATATAAAGTGTGAGATAGAATACAATTTATAGACCTGATCTTGGCGATTATTGGCACTTAACAGCAAAACGCATATGTGACTCTGAAGAAACAGATGACTTTCTAATATTTGAGCTGGCATCACTTTACTTCGATATCAGAGACTGTGCTACTGATCTCTTCACACTATTGATTAATAAAGCAGTATAAATCTTACATCGTAAATGCTAAAATAGGCGTCATCTGTCACAAATTCCACTCGTCGGAGGAAAATGAGTTTCATAATGTTGGAGGTATACGCAGTGAGGATGTAATTCATTGGCTGTAGCACTGAACTGATAAGTAATTGACCCAAGGCTCAAATCCTGTCCCAGCTACTTCAGGCTAGCTCATATTCCACTACATATAACTCATCATGGTTACTAATTTGTATTCCTTTTTTTAATGATACACTTTGTCCATAACTGTTAACACGGAAAATCCTCAATTTTGTGGGAATTCCTACCTAATAAGTCGAAAAATAAACAACCGAGTTGATAACACTAAGAAGAATGGAGGAGTTGTCTATAGTTCTAAAAAACCTCATTAATCGGTTCTGAGTAAATTTACTATAGGAATCACTATGGGTACAACTAGTAAACCAACCTAGTTTAACCTGTAGTCTAAATTCACCATATATTGTAATGAATATCAAACAGTCATTTGACAAAATCTCCATAGATTTCCAGGTAATCTCTACAAATGGAGCTATGCGAACGAAATGGACTAGTTGGAAGCGAGCACTTCCACTCGTTCACAGTTCAATAGTGGTGCCTCAAAGTTCTGAGTAGTCGAATAATCTTCGTTTGTTTGTTTGATTTATACCCGCATCCTTCTTGTTTACTTTGATACAGATAAGTGTATTGATGTGAAGTTGTACAACTCTAGGCGATGCAATTCCCTGTTCATCTGCTTCTCTTCTTTAACTATCTCCTCGTCAGTCTAGCTGACCCTCCGTCTATCCTTCAGTTCAGTTCTGAATCAAGAGAATTGAAAGATGAAAAAAAATAGATGGAAGCACAATTCTTTTTTAAAACAAGTGTGTAGCATTTAAAACCCACTAATTTCTCTGTTATATAAAGACCAATCTATTAAACTACAAGCATCTAAAATTATCTCAGCATCAGTAAATCAGTTTCTTAAACTCTTTGAATCATGTCACTTTGGATTTGAGAGTGGAGACTTCGCTGAAAGTTAGTAGAATGATGGTGAGTGAAGAATTACATAGCACTCATTCACATGACAGTTAACAAAAATCCTCAATGGATAAAGCGAGATGAATTGGTCTGGGATAGGTTCACTGACTTGTGGCATAGGACAAGAGTCCTCGTAGTATTCACATGGGGAGACAGTGTTTGGCGGATGACTTGCAGAGACTATAGTCAGGTTAGACTAATTGCATAATGGTACAAGTCAGACTGGCATTTTGAAGCTAAAAAGGATATAAGCAGAGATAAACTTGCTAAACATTTGGACTGCTATTAGCTGTCTTTAACCACCTACCATTGTTAGTCATAAAATACTTGAAATCTCCTGCTGATTTTCATATCGGACTGAACTGACCCGTCTCTGTTGCCATTTTGTCTCCTTCAATAGATGTTTCGATATTAGCTGAAGTTTTATCTGGATGTCACTTGCTTTGTAGTGACAAGTATTTTATTCCAGGACTCATCTTTCGTTCTCATCAGGGCTATAACTCATCACTCACCGATTCACAGGCTGGAGTGTTATCTACCAGGTTACTGAATTTTACGTTTAGGTCTCAGCAGAATTGCCATCACCAATTAGACTGAAGGTACGTCCAACAGAAGAGTCTGAAATAGAATAAACTTACATTCTGGATTCTAGTGTTGGCCAGCACCGAGCAAATAATACATTTAGTTACGCAGTTTTTGCATCTATATATATATATATATATATATATATATATATATATATGTATATATATATATATATATATATATATATATATATATAACCATGTTTCTGAGTTTACCACGACTGTTTCACCAGTAACGCATTTTGATTTTCCTTGAAGGATACAGCCTATCAAAACGGCTCATTGACAAGTGGATTTAAACAAAGGTCTAACAGTAAAAGTATGTTGAATGTAGAAAACCCGGATGAGGAAAATAAACAAAACCGTGGATTCGTTAGACGTTGGTCATCGGGATCGCGGAAAAAACGGCGAAAATCTAGTAAACATCGTTCTGGCGACTTGGATGATGAATTAGAACAAATTCCTGATACAACTTTCACGCGAACTTTATCTAACCCTGATGAGGTGTTACGTCGTCGACGGCAACAACGAGTTCACAATCGAAATCAAGCTATGGAGACTGGAGATGGTGATAAAAGAGGTTGGTTTATAGGCCTTTTTTGGTCTTTGTTTTGAATGATTATGTTGAAGATTTTTTATGCCTAAATAATCCAAACTCATTACACTATGTATCAGTGGTTAGTCGGTAGGCAGATGTCTCAGGTTCTGACGAAAACGCTTCCTTTATGAAATTTATGAAGTGCTCTTCAATGAAAATAATGAACATCTTTAAAAATAAATAAATGTGTTGTAAAAGTATATTATGATATAAAGAATTCAGCCAGTAAAACTTACTGAATAGGAAGAGATGATCGATAGTAATCTGTGACCCTAACCAGCCTCTTGTTTTAACTGCCAGTATTCACTACTTCCAGTCTTTTACAAGTCTCTGCTTATTTCGGAATCAAGACAACCCTCACTTGAGATTATCAACAACGGTGTTACCACTGATATGATATAAGTTCTGACTACTGTTTTTGATTAAATTTCTAAAGCTACAGCGTCACGTTTCACTACAGCAAATGATAAACAGTTGTAAACCAATTTTCTAAATCTTGTGGATCGGCCCTTTTCTGCATGTCAGTCAGCATTAAAATAAGGTAGAGTAGATTCTTTTGTGACGTCGGACTACATAGAATAGCTGACGATGTCGAATCATTTATTTTACGTAGGCCTGAAATCAGTATTTAAATACTGACTTGATCTCTGCATCTTGTACTGCATAAAGTGTTGGTCAGTTCACTTTAATATCTAAGGGTTAAAGAGTATATATTAAACGAATATTGATTTCAAAGGCGACACGGTAACAGAGATTCTGAAGCATCGGCTATGCAAAAATCACTTGGTTGGACATTATTTTCTGCCGAGCTAAAGATCACCTTCTCTAATCGAGAACTGTTAAAGACAAGGTGCCACATTGAGCCACCTCATTATGTATTACTACAAGTTTACTTACTCCTGTGGGGCTACTGATATTATTACTATATTATTATTATTAGTCCCTTGGGTTCCTAATGGAATAAAGGGCTTCAGTAGCACATTTCCAGTAAACTCTGTTCTCTGAAATCTATTGAATCTGGCTCCAAGACAGCCCAGAAGCTGTCATTTCTTCCTCGCACGATCTCCTCCATGTCACCCTCACCACGGACGCCCAACTCGTCCCTCCCCATCGGGGGTTCCACTCGAGGGCCTGACGCGTGATGTCCACACTCGGCCTTCTCAGTGTATGCCCAATCCATCCCCACTTTCTTCTGCATATTTGCTAGGTGATAGGTTCTTGGTTGGTTCGTTCCCAGAGCTCCTTGTTACTTATTCTTTCTGGCAATCCATCTGATCTTCAGTAGCCAGCCAGCGTAGGCAGTTGTTGATGAATGTCTGCAGTTGTTTATTGGAAATACCTTTCGTAATGCGCCAAGTCTCAGCCGTACAGAAGCACTGACTTGAGTGAATTGGTGATGAAAATCCGGATCTTATTCAAGCTTTAGGCTGAATGCAGTAGATCTCCACACTGGTTTCAGGATAGTCAACGCCTGTCTTGCTTTTCCGATTCTGACTTTGGCATCCTCGTCTGTGCCGCCTGTAGTTGAAACAGTGCTTCCTAGATAGGTGAAGGAGGTTACTTCCTTTAAGTTTCTCCCGTTGATGGTGATTGGAGTTTGTTGTTGTTGTTGATGGTGGTGGTTGGGTATCTTCATCACTTCTGTCTTCTCTATATTCACTTGAAGTCCCGTCTTCGCTGCCTTGCCTCTTCTATCAACTTGTTAGTTTTCGCCTGTAAATCTTCAAGTTTGTGTGACATCAGACACAAGTCATCGTGGCGAAATCCAAATCTTCTAGGTTCTTTTCCGTGGTCCAGCCAGCGTATCTCCCTCTTCTCGCTCCCCACTATTTGCTGCATGATCCAGTCCAGTCGACCACAATCAGGAATATCATGGGTGATAGTAGACAGCCTTGTTTCACTCCTACTCCTGTCTTCACTTCAAAAGCATCACTGAGCTTCCCATTGTGAATTACTTGGCTGGCATTTGGCATCTTCATATAGTTGTTGAATGAGGCTGATAGAGGTTTGCGGTATTCCGTAGTATTGAAGCAGTTTCCAAATTACCTCTCGGTCGACGCTGTCGAAGGCCTTCTCAGAGTCGATGAAGTTGAGGTGTAGAGTTGACTGCCATTCTATACTCTGTTGTATGATGAAGCGTAGCGTAGTGTTGCAATTTGGCCGGCACATGATTTGTACTTCCTGAGTCCAGCCTGCCTGTTCCGGTCGTAGTTTTGAATCTAGCGCATCCTTTAGTCTGTCCAGGATGATGCGGCTTAATATTTTTTGCTTGCATTGGGAGGACAGGAGAGTGATTCCACTCCAGTTCTTGCAAACACTGAGGTCTCCTTTCTTCGGGAGTTTGACAAGGTAGCCATACTTCCAATCGCCAGATACCTCTCCTTCCTTCCAGGCCTTCTGCAGTAGTGGTGTGAGCATGTCCGCTGTTGTCTCTGCGTCTGTTTTCAGTGCTTCTGGCAGGATTCCATCTGGTCCTGCTGCTTTCCTTCACTTCAGTAGCTTTATGGAGCTCAAGACTTCGACTTTCGTCGGATGGCTTGTGTTCACTTGTAGTTCTGTGGCTGGGCTGCAGGTGATATTTCTGGACGAAGTGCAGGTGGTGGTGGATTCAAGAGCTTTTTGAAGTGGTCAGCCTATTGTTTCCTTTGTTTCTCCTCTTTCGTAATTAAATTTCCTTCATCATCTTTTATTGGTTTCATGTGTGTTGATCTCTTCCCAGACAGTGAGTAACCTGGTTATTTGATACAATGTTGTCAGGTCTCTCCTACCTGCAGCTTGTTCTGATTCGCTTGCCAGTGTTTCTTAGAAGTGTCTTTTGTCTTTCCGTGCACCCTTCTTCACTTCTTTGTCCAGTGTTTTATGAATTGTACTCAGTTCCTCTTCTCGTTATTCATTTTTGCACTGGTTTGTCTTCTGCTTCACCATCCTCCTCTCCCTGCTCTATTAGCTTTCATGTGTCCATCGAGATCCATTCCTTGTCTTGTCGCTTCTTCTTCCTTCCTAATGTGGTTATGCAGGTTTCTTTCCACATCTCTTTCAATGACTTCCAGTGTTCTTCCACACCGGTTTCTTCAGGTATGTTCCTCGATATCTCCCATTTTGTCTTAATGGCTGCCGTGAAGATTTCCTTTATGGTTTCGTCCTTCAGTTTCGGTTGTGGGTGTTGTACTTGAACTGTGGTCTATCACCAGCTTCCTTGAAGGCTTTCAACTTGATTTGGAAGGTAGGCTCCTTGCACTAGATAGTGAATGGTCTGAACCTACATCTGCTCCTCTTCTTGACCTTGTGTCAAGTAGACTGCGTCTCCATTTTCTTGAGATTGAGATGAAATCAGTCTGATTTTTAGTGTGTCCTGGTGTCCGGTGAAATTCATGTCGCTCGCTTTGTGTATATCCTTATGCTTGAACATAGTGCCTCCAGTCACCAAATCGTTGAATGCGCAGAATTCTGCGAACAATTCTCCATTCTCGTTCATCACTCACCTAGCGCTTTTCGACCCATGATGGATGAGTTCTCTTCCTGTGTTGCCGTTCCCAGTTTGGCACTCATGTTGCCCATTAGAATTTTGAAATTGCCAACTGAGGCCTTGTCGAAAGTTTATTGCAGTTGTCTGTAGAATTCCTCCTTCTTCTCTTGCTCCGTATTATTTGTAGGTGCATAGCATTGTATGATTGTGACCTTTCTTCCTTTTGAGTTGAATCTTGCTGTCATGATCCTGCAGGAGGAGATTGGTTCCCACTGCATGAGAGCCTTCGACACTCTTGGGGACATCATAATAGCCACTCCATAACTCAGTGTGCTCGTGGTTGTCGTCTGGGTGACCGGAGTAGATTATTGATTCTCCAGTTGACAGTTTGGAGAGTCCACTCCCATTCCATCTGCTTTCGCAAATCCCAAGCACTTCGATGTGATGCCTTCTCATCTCGTTTGCAATCTGGACTGCCTTACTGGGTTCAGACATCGTGCGGACATTCCATGTCCCCACGTTTACTTTCGCTTTCATCGAGAGAAGACACATCGGCCAATTGGCTTCCTGAAGGCAGGCTTTCACCAACTGGCGTCATTTCGCCTCTCCGATTCCAGCGAGGAATAATTTTGTTTTTATTTTTTATATATCGTTTGTGCTTTGAATTTTCTTTAGCGGTTAGATTTGTTTTACGGGGTAGGGTTGCTAGCCCTATGCCCAACCTTCCCTCTTTACCCGGGCTTAGGACCGGCTGGTAACTAGTGAACTAGTTAACCAGGCGAATTTAGGGCTACTGATATAAACCCCACAAAATGCGTACTTTCCAAATGTATATCCAAGCACTATCCTAAATTGTTGTCAAGGCGGGAACACAAATCACTTACCAGTTAAACTCTAGACATGCAGTTTCACTACAGACTTCTTTCAACTTCATCCATAAGATCAAAGAGAATAATTCAAAAAGAGGGCACTTTTGAAACTTGCGCATAGCACAAGCACATGATTGAAGCCTAATCTCTGAAGAAGTAGTAGAAGAAGTATATTCAGTCTCTTATCTTGCTATGGTTTTAATCCTTCCTTATCTTTTCCCTTTTCTTCGGATTTTATTGTAATCTATCAATTTGTGATTATCATCTTCAGTATGACTTTCTTTTCTGTCATCGCCTTCGTTACACCTATCAAGTGGACAATCGAGCATTACATCTCGCAGGTATCAACAATTTTCACATCGTCAAACTTCCTGCCTTTCTAGTTATTTTCACTTTTTGAAATAGATTATTACGCAACTCCTTTGTACTCTTTACTTTCATTCCAACACCGCTGTTTTAATGCAACCATACCCTATTTTTCAATAACAAATTGGTATACGTTTGTAATATATATGTGTATATATACAAATGTCTTTACAGCTTTACAAAACCAAAGCGTCAAAAAGGAAAAGAAAGGATTATCTCTTCTTTTCTTCATAACTTGAAGAGCATCTTTTGTTGGTAAAAGACGGCAGATATGCCTTCAG